TAATAAAGCCATACGGGGTAGTTTAGTAACCCCTTTGTGTGCTTTTTTACTAATCATTCAATTATTAATTAATAAAAAATAAACAAAATTTTATTCAACATATATTATTGTCAGCTTTTAGGCTGAAATGTTTTCGATCCCAAAAATATGCGTCGTTAAAATGGCTTGGCAGTGTTAGCATAACAGTTTGTAGGAAATATACAATGCTATTCGTGCAACTGTAATGAGTGAAAACGTTGCTTCGATCCATGGTAAGATATGCAGATCATTATAGGGCAAGGCATTTGTTATATTGAGATAGCAATACAGTGTAATCAATCGTAATCAATCATTAGACACGGAAATACGTAATTAATTGAAGGAGTCTTCCATACGGAAGTCTTACACCGCTCTTGTCGCCCATTATGGAGCCATTAGCACCTCGGCTCTGTCATAAAACGAAGTGAAGCAATGAGTGATGGAACCACAATAAAATAGGCAATCAATTCGTCAATCAAGAGCACTTTGTCTACAGTTAAATGACCACCCGAACAGTGAGTTAAGTGGACCCCTGTTGCTAGATAGGCTCCCTAACTCATTTCTTTGCACTTTTGGAGACGATCCAGCAGCAGCAGCAGCAGTAGCGGCAACTGTGGACGCAAAAAATTAGAAAAACCTGAGATCGTAAACCGGTTAATTTAATTTATTTTGAAAGTATTTTAGTGAATTTGCGTATTTGCCGGAGTCGTAAAAACAAAAATTAAATAAAATAAAATAAAAATAAAATCACTAGCTCCAAATAACAACTAAGTTAAATATTTAAAATATTATGTCTGTCGAAAGTACAGTAAAACGAGTCAGACCATCTCTCTTTAAGCTATTGCGCATGCTCAAAACTCCAGACAGCTTCCGTATGCAAATAGTACACGGCTCTCATAGAGATAAGTACGCACAGATCTTCAATTGATTTCGTGATTAATGATGACTAACTACCAGTCAGACATCGGACATCGGACATCGGATGTCGGACGGCATTCGCAGCGGGCAACCGTTTGTCTAATAACGAAAATAAGAACCAATCTTTGTGCATTGTTCGACACATAAAGCGTTTGTAGCTCTGCATCTCTATGTGGGGTTTTGTTGAGTTGTGAATGCTATAATTAAAGTCATGCTTCGATATGGCGTATCATTCACAGACCTTGGCCCCACAAATATTAAACATTACCATACTCAAGAGTATTTTTGTTTGTTGTTGTTTCTTTTTTCTAATTTACAAAATAATTTATTTTCAAT